TATCACCCTTATTAAAAATTTGCTCGTGTCCTCGTTTATCGTTGACTTGCCTATAACGACGATAGCCCTAACCAGAGTCACGGCTAGCTAGCCAGTGAATGCCATCTAAGTGTGTAATTCGGGTTTAAACTACCGTTTTGGATTCTTTTTATAAATCATGTCGCAAGTCGCAAGTCGCAAGTCGCAAGTCGCAAGTCGCCTAGGTTAGTTGTTACTCATTATACCACCCCACCTTTTGAATATCGTCTTCGGCTACATAGACTCATGATGAGTTCACGTAGGTAGGTCCGATATTTATTCTGCATAATATGTAACTTCTTGTTTCGGGATTTCCTCCTGTATTAAAGAAAAGCAAGGGGTTTTCAGCCTTTACAGGGTCCCGAGGACATATCGGAGGGTTATTTCAGGACAAGCAAGGCAACGTGCCGCACACTCTCGGCATGATCAGATCCAACATCTTATCTATATCCCAAAGGGCTAGCTCGACGTCTTTAACTACCGCTAAACGGCGAAATCCTCCTAGACCGGGAGGAATAGCGGACCCGGGGGGTCGATCTGCGGCGTCGCTAATATTTGCATAAACCCGTGCTAATAAAAGGAACGACAAAACTGAAACAAGTTATTACTATGTAGATAGTAGTGGTGCTATATGATATAAAAAAAGCTCAAGTATAGGACCAGGACTAACAATATGTACGAGTCAAAACAACTTAAATACCTAATGTATGATGATGTTGATTATTGGCTAATGGCCACGCGGAATGAGAGAAAAGCATCCCAGAGAATAATATATTGGCGAGGTCAGGCGCTTATTCTTGGGAACTCCCTCAATCGGAGGTTCAGGTTTCGGAGGGCTATATGCCACAGCGGGTATTGATAGGCGGGGGACCGCGGTAAACGCAATTGTAAAATTGTAAAGATGGATGGTATGTTTATGTCATGGTCATGTCCATACGAGTGGTACTGATGTACAAGAGAGGAAAGTTCGTCGCGGGGAGATCAAATGTAACCTAGCCCTGGCATTCGAAGCGTACGGAATAAGGTCATCCAAGATGGCCATCGAACAGAATAACGGTACGCGACTAGATCTTAGTACGCATACATAGATGTGGGTTAAAGAATAGTTAACTATATGTATAACTAGTCTTATATTTTAACTAACTAGGTACCTACCTAACCTAAGTAAACATCAAATTTATGTACTTAATACCACCTATCACCTACCGAAGGATATGAGATATTGGAAAAATAACAGACTACTTTACCTACATTCTTACCTTCTCTGGTATCTACTCACATGGCATTCTTCATCCGATCTAGGAGTAGAAATTGCTAAACTTGAAATTTTGTGTTACAAACGAAAACACCGTTTGCCGAGTCTCATCAACTCTTCGACCGATGTGTTGTTCCATAGATCGTGGATCGTGACACACGGCCAATTGCGCCAACGTTATTTAGCGCCGGTGATTTGACCCAGCCGCTTATTAGCGTAGGTATACTATGTATACCTCTACCTCGCTAACCGCCTTGGCCCCCAAGCGAGGCTGAGATGTTGATTGAGGGGTTGGTTGAAAGACGAATGGAAAGCTTCTAGTTAGATGTCTCATCGATTCTCTTCCTAAATCCTATCAATTGAATAGGAGGCGTTGTTCTGTGGTTGCAGATATCATCACCAACATTGCTATGCGGATCAGATCGGTAAATTGTCCAAAGGAATTCTTGATGATTGAACTGGTCGAAGCGCTCGTCCCTTGGTGCATGTCTTCGTTCCGATATCATTGACTCTAGTGCCGTTATTACGTATCAAAATAGCCTAGGAGGGTAATAACAAGAGTCTAGGAGTCTAAAGAATGGCGCCCGCGACCTAATTATTTACCTAGGTACCTGTTAAATGATTTGCACAATTCCAGTTCCAGAGCTGTCAAGTGGATCTTGAAAGTGACTGTTTTTGCGCGCGGACGCCAAAAGTTTATGGGGATGAACATCGGTTGGTTCGTATCCAATCGTTCGACTAAGCGTAAAATAAGGAGAGGGCCGCGAATCTCAGTAACGTCCTGCGCGTAACATCACACTACATGTTTATATGTATGTATGTATGTATGTATGTATATCCACGCAACTAATCGCGATCCTATCTGTTAGTGACTCTGTTTTGTACCCAACCAGCCTTGACCAAACCATGTCGCGTATTTCGCATATCTTGCGAGCAAGAGAGTGCTTTAATATTAAATCGAGCACACGCGTTGTACTTGATAGGTGAATAATCCATGCTGCTCAACTTGAACGGTTCGTTGAAATGAAGTTATCCAGAGAAAAACTCCGGTACGTTCAAAGTTGGGATATCGGGATCCACTCCTGGGGTCCCCATTTCAGGGATTTCAGGGTCGAGATCTATGTAGTAAAATTGAACCATCAAGAATCGACTCAGGTGTCAGAGATAGATGATAGCCTGAAACAGACATCGTAGTTCAAGGGGGGAAAAGGGGACAGGAAGGAAAGGCTATCTGGAATGACTACTCACTTTTTAAATGCGATGGAGCCAGCGATATTATGTAGTAAATCTCAAGAATCAAATCCTGGCCATATCGAGTCCCTTTCTTCCTTATTTCGGTTGAAGGGTAGCCCTCTGATCGACAGCTCACAGACGGGGGGGGAGGGGGGCACATCCACATCATTTTAGCAACTAGCCTACCCAGCTAAAATTATCACATGGGGCAGACGGGCCAGGCTGTAATATGTATGCACATACATATGTACGCTCTTCTGTGGTGGATGCTGCGTCTAGATAAACGTGCTTTAGCAGTACGGATTAGTAGGGGGGTTTTAGGAAAAGCCATGAGAAACCATGAGAAGCTAATGAATGTCGGTACTTCTCGAATGAGTACCCATCTTGCCAGCCCAGTCCAGCTTACTCCTGATATTGCAATGGAGATCTACTCTCACATATCCCACAATTCACCCGAATTTATTACCCAATAAGCACAATCTGCCAACCCTCTTCAAAGACAACCCAAGACAAAAAAGCTATCCACACCCTTGGCCCTATGACCGTGAGTTGCAGGATAATATGCAGCGAGCATGCCGCAATGAGTGCATCTTGCATATGGGCTTCATTGGATGGATGTAACGGATATTTGTGTTGGAGTGGTATCGGCGCGATCACCAGCGTCCTATCATCAGCAGTGTCGTCCGATTCCAGAACCGAACCGAACTTGCTAGCTGCCAGGTTCGGCAAGCGGTGTCTTGTCAGACTGTGTAGAACATGTATTAGGGACATGTATTAAGTAGGTCTATTAGGTAGGTCGTAACTGTCGTAACTGATTTGCTCTTCCGGTGTATGTATGTATAATGTATGTATTCAATAAGCAGGCAAAAAGGGGGTGCTTCATATGCGCTTGGCTTCAAGCGAGAGAGATGGTACAAGCCAGATACTATGTATGTACGCATACGCGGATCATAAGAAAAAGAAGGCCAATAATATAGTTACCACTTGGCAACTGCACACTACCATGTAGGTACTCTATGTACTTCGTTCCCAACGTCGCTAAATACATAGAAGGATACCAGTCCCTCAATATGTACATAGTAGGTCCCAATATTCCGGGATCTCGAACGAAGCTATGGTAATCAATAGCGAGTTGGATCATCTGGGTCTGACCATGCTAAAGAAGTCTAGTAATAGGCCCGTAGATCAAAGCTTTTTTTTTCTTTTTTTTTCTTTCGATGGGAAAGGTTTCTGTATGAGTTTTCTAGGATGGTGCTGCTCAAAACTAGGAACTGCTGGGAACAATTCTCGTGCCCCCCCTCCACCCCCTGTCAATAGCCCATGGCCACTAGTATGCTGGTGCATATTAAACGACATTGTAATTTCGTCGAACGAGCTAGACAGGGCTTTCATTTCAAAGAGAAGAAGGAAAGAAAAAAAAATGTTGCAGGCACAGACCATAGCCGCAAGATTTGCAGATGACCCAGCAACGAGTTAGGTAAGGACTGGGAGTTCATGCAGAAGTGAAAATGAACAACCCAGCTAGGTATGTAGATACCTATGTATTGTTGTAGGTAGTGTAGCATATAAAATCCCTTATACCTATCCCAGGCATTAAATATCGATTAGTCTGAGATGATGGTAGCACAAACACGGTACAGCGAATAATAGAATAATAGAATAAGAACAATAATAATAGGACGATATTGGTGTGGGTGTAATTCTTTAATAAGGTTGGTCGAAGGGTTATCTACTACATTGTAAAAAACGTGTGCCGTGAGAATGGTGAGAATGGCGAGAATGGCGAGAATGGCGTAAGGTCCATCTACAAAATGGAATAATAATAATATTGAATGACAAACGGTCTATCGTTATTACCTACTCGATTTTAGGCCACACTCCTTTTTTTTTTATTTCTTTTCGTCCCTTTCTCCCTTAGAACAGGCAGGGGATAACGGCGGCAACTGCCAATCACTGCTAATGCACTGATGTGGGTCCTCTGTTTTTGCTCAACACAACCCGCGACCCGCCTCGACCCACCTAATAATCCCTGTTGGACGGATACCGTGCACGACTTGTAGAGAAATACTGTACCAGGTACATCCAGGAGTCGAAATCGTACTCCATCGTACTCCTGATTTTGCGCTTGGCCTACCTGGTCTCTGCTACAGTAACAGTCACTGTACTTTGTCACTAAGAGACTGTGCTCCCTTCCATGTCACTCTCTTTCCCATTAATCACGAGACAATAAATAAAGCCCGGCAGAAGCAGCTGTGCTTCCATTCGACTTTTCCCTTCCCATCCTTCCTGTCGTACTCGACTTCAAATACAAGTTTCCTTGTTCTTCCACTTCCATTTCAAGCACCTCCCAAGAACACTCCCCCGCGAGACAACGAAGTGTCATTTAATACAACTACTCTATCCAACGAGTAGCTTCTCCATTATTTAATTTCCCCTTTCTAGTGATACCCATATTCTTGATACCCAAATTAGTTTTTCCTTTTAGACAATCAAAATGGCAGAGGAACAGAAGCCCGTTGAAGTCGCCGAGACTACCCCCGTCGTCGCCGAGCCTGCAACTGAGACGAAGCCTGTTGAGGACAAGCCCGTCGAGACCACGCCTGTTGCCGAGGCTGCTGCTACTGAGGCACCCGCTGAGGCTACCGAGACAACCGAAGCCGCCGCTCCTGCTGAGGAGGCTAAGGAAGAAGTGAAGCCTATCGAGGCTGGTACCCTGGAGCACAAGGGTGCTCCCGCCAACTTCCCCAAGTATGTTGCCATTATTTGCAGATGATAAAAAGACATCTTAACTAACCTCGTTCAGGAACCTCATCTACTCTAAGCAGCACTTCTGGTTCGGCACCGATGCCATCCCCAAGGACAAGCTAGCTACATACCTCAAGAATGAGAAGGCCACCGAGGTTGCTCACCACGTCACTGCCTGGGCTGCCGAGACTGGAAAGGGTCTTTTCTTCTACGGCAAGGAGAGCGATAAGAGCACCCCGACCGGCGCTATCCAATTGGTATGCTTGATTAATGCGACATGATTAATAGTACAATAACACTAACTAGTATATAGGCTGAGGCTTCTGAGCCTACCGCTGAGGGCGCTACCAAGTTCTCTTTCACTGCCAAGGGTCACAAGCACGCATTCAAGGCGCCCACTGCCGCTGACCGTGATAACTGGGTTGAGCAATTGAAGCTTAAGATTGCTGAGGCCAAGGAGCTTGCTGCCACTATCGCTGAGACTGAGGCGTACAAGCAGACTCTTGAGAGCTTGAAGCCTGCTAAGGAGGAGAAGCCTGCTGAGGCCGAGCCTGCGAAGGAGGAAGCCAAGGAGGAGCCTAAGGAAGAAGACAAGAAAGAAGAACCTAAGGAGGAGGATAAGAAGGAAGACGGTAAGGACTCCAAGCGCCGATCTGCCAGCCGAAAGCGTGCTTCCATCTTCGGCAACCTTCTTGGCAAGAAGGAGGAGGCCAAGAAAGAGACCCCCGCTGAAGATAAGTCCGCCGAGGACAAGCCTGCCGAGACCGCTGAGGCTGCTGAGCCTATCCCTGAGGACGCAGCCGCTGCTACCGAGACTCCGGCCGTCGAGACCCCTGCTGCCGAAGAGGCCAAGAAGGAGGAGCCTGTCAAGCCTACTCCTACCAAGCGTGCTAGGTATGTTTTCTCCATTTGTCCTATTGATGTCATGATCTAATCTTTTATAGCCTTTTCGGTGGTCTCTCCTTCGGAAAGAAGAAGGTTGAGTCTGAGTCTGCTCCCGCGACTCCTGCTAAGGATGCCCCTGTCGACGCCTCAGTTGCCGAGACCGCTCCTGTGATCCCTGCCGTCGAGACTTCTGAGCCTCTTTCGACTGAGGTTGCCTCTCCTACCACTATCCCTGAGACAACTGATGCCGCTCCTGCCACCAACGGTGAGACCAAGGAGAAGACCGAGAAGCGCAAGTCTTCTCTCCCCTTCGGCTTCGGCAAGAAGGAGAAGACTGCTACCTCTGACGAGGAAGGCGAGAAAGTCAAGTCTCCTCCCTTTTTCTCCAAGCTCCGCCAGACCGTCAAGGGTAAGGGCAAGGCTGAGAAGCCTATTGAGGAGTCCAAGGCTGAGGACGCCAAGCCTGCTGATGTAGCCGAGGAGACCGAGCCTGCTAAGGAGGCTGAGGCTGAACCCGCTGTTGCCCCCATCGCTGAGGAGACTTCTGCGGAGAAGCCTGCTGCTGCTGCACCGGCTCCCGTCACCGCTGCCGCATAGAGTGCGCGCCGCTTTGGCCTAAGGGTCAATATTTAATGTTTTCGTAAAGTGTATCCACGACACTGGGTTTGGTCGGGAACGGATCTGCATTTCAAGATACCCTACGAGACTGGTTTCTAACTGATACCCCCATCTGTTGTCGGCGATTGGCAGGCATACTCTCTATTAGTCGGAATGGAGAGTGCGCTGCATTGACGCAAGGATGGCATCCATGATCTTTATACTGACGCTTTTTGCATGTCTTGTCTCAATTTGCGAGGAGAACTGCTTTTTGTTTTGACACATCTTTTCCTAATACTCAACTGATACCCAGTATACCCCCTGTCATTTGGTTGATGCGGATCAGAAAATACCTGCGAAACAGCACACAAATGTTTCATCTTTTACAGTGACGGAGTGGGTGGAATATGTTGTGACGGAGCTGCTTGATATTGAAGCACGCGATGTCCTCATACGGATTAGATGTCGCGCGTTGTGTTATGCCACGTAGGGTATGCGCTTGCCGGCTGAAGCATTCTCTTAATAGCTAATAGATACTCATGTGTTCAGTGTTGCTAGTCTTTTGCTTGTATTTCTGTGATTCTAGTTTTGTCCTGTTATTAGATCATTAGCAGTCTTAGTTCGAGCTCTCGATAGTGAATCATTAGCATCAATATGAACCACTTGTTCTTATATTAAGTTATTATTCTCTTCGTGACACTTTTGATTATAACAGTCAATATGGCAATGCTTCACTATTTGGGCGTTGATGAAAGCTACCTACTTCTGATGGTTCCAGTACTATGTCTATGGTTTGTAAACCTTCAAGCAAGCGGAATCCTACCCATAACTTCAACATTAGTGTGGGTATCTAAGGTGTATATTTATGTCTCGTTCATCTTATCCTTCTCTTAATTGTGTAACCTGTTATTAAAACCCGTACCAAATTTCCGAATGGCTAAGTCCAAGTAATAGTGGGCTAAGTCCAAGTAATAGTGACTTGTGTTAATAAGAGTTACGCTATTGAGGGCTCCTAGATTATTATCAATATAAAATTGCATATTTGCCTAGTACTATACCTATATAATTTACCAGCGCATCATATTCAATAGCATCTTCTACCTTGAGGTTTGTCAGTAGTCATCAATGTTGAAATTTCATCCGGAGTCACGCTTTTCGTGAACGTGTTGTCTAGATAGATGCACGGTATCCGAATCATAACCATAGTTGCATTCTATGATATGTTTAACAACGGCTCAGAACATGCGTCAGGAGAAGAGTCAGAGTCAGGTCTTAAGATAGGGGTATGTGTTATCTCGTAGCAATCATTACCATTGTCATGTAGACTGTAAGCCTACGTCATGAAAACCTTGAATCGATTACCTTTGGAATCAACTGGCAGTCCATTTTTAGCAAGGTCAAGTTTTAATTCGTCTCCTTCTGCTTGCCTTATTACTCCAGTCGTGTTTCCTTTACAGCTATAATGTCATGGATGTTCACTTCTTAACAAAATCACTTCTTAACAAAATCATGCAACAATCAAGCTTGTTTCCACGTGTAAATAGTCACAGTACGCACTCACCAATGTTCTGCATGTTTGCTTAAGGGCCTAAAAACTTGTATATAAAACTTTTCGTATTCTTTTGCTTTTTCTCATTCCTCATCTTTTCTACATAGTTTCCAAGGGCCAAAACAGCAACAGAGGCTGTATCTTACCCAAACAATAACAAGCTTCTCACCTGGCATAATGCAATCCAATAACCAACAAAGAGATAGCCAACAGCCACCATCGGACTGGATCAACGAACGGGGCCGACTTAGAGGCTCTGATATTCCTGCCAGACAAGCCGGTTCCCGCCGCTCGATCCCCGCGATGGCATATGACAATGATCTTGGGAGGCTTGATAGCCTCGAGGAATTTGGCCAAGGAAATTCCATAGGCTCCCGAAGGTTCAGCGGGACTTACGATCACGCCGGATCTGGTTGGCGCACCACGTTCGGGACCACCAGGCCGGAGGGGTCGGATATCTTGGCCAGTTTTATTAATGAGCGGTCGAGTAGGGATTACCGGGAACCCCTACCCCACGGGGCTTTCCCCAGCCATATCCTCGATATCGAGTCTATGAGGCCCAGAGCTATTCCTAACCAAGACGAGATCGCTCGGTTCGAGTCTTCAATATTTGACCCGAATCGCCCATCTTCTTGGCCAACTCAGCTTAACGACGCTCGCGAACCCTCCAGGCCAAGTACGCCGGATATGCCTGCTGATGATATTACATACCGGCTAGAATACTCGCCAGAAAGAACTCCCACGCCCGACGCGTCCGGCGTATTCTACCCGTCGGATCATCTCCACGGACGTTGGCATCGGCACAATCGGTTCAGTCAGCCCTTCCCGCAGAATCGCCCTACTATATCCAGCAGCACGACTATGCTTCCCTTAGAAAGAGATAGGCCCGCTAGTGTAGCATTCGACCGGCTAAACAGAGCCTATCCATCTACTGAAAGCACCTCTGCCCACCCCAGAATACCCAGCTCATCCACTGCTGATAGCTCTCAGACTTTATACCCCGGACTCAGCACTCCTATCATGACTCCCACATCCAACGCGTCCGACATCGATACCGACGCTAGCGTCTTGAGGGTTAATGCGGTGCCCGAACAGGCCGGGAACCGGGTCGATGAGTTGAGCACGGGCAACGGAAGCTCCAGTGCCAACGGCGAAGGTGGCGCTAGACTCGACGGTAGCGGTCATCCCGCGCCCATCCCCGTCACCATCTCGATATCTATCGAGTTTGATGACAGCATGTTTGATATCCAGGGTTACAACGTCACTACGAAGCCGCGAAGTGAGCGGGTCTGAGAATACATAGGGGTCTAAGAATCAAGGGAAGGAGAGAAAAAAAAATAGCATGTGATACTGGATAAGTGATCTTATCTGATTTAGGGCGCAGAATTTTGATGCATGTATAAAAATAGGGGGAATGAACATACCGAGGATTATAAATAGTAATATTCATGTATTTTATTCAATGGTCTTTTCTTGTGGATATGCAATGTAGCTAAAGGAGAGGCAAAAGCTGGCTACTATTGCGATCTTCAATGGCAAAACCATGTTTATCTAAGAATCGGATGCTCTAAACCCAGGGGAGCCGTTCCGTTCTATGGCAAAATGCAACATATATACCTGTAGAGATTTGCCTCTTCCATATGAGCAATGCACATTATCATTACATTATTATCGACGTCATAACTCGATCGTAAACCCCTTCTTCCCCGGGTCTCTCTATCCCCTCTTGAAATCATTAATCCAGATACACTAGTATCAGCTCCAACACCAGCTCATGGCCACAAGACTCAAACCAAGGTATATATACCCCTTCTTTACACCCTTTACAACTGACGCACCCGAAGACGTCGACGTCCGCTCACTTGACGCCTCGCGACTCTGCGCTGCCGTCCCTGTCCCCGTCAACACTGTAGTTCCTTGCTCCGAGCCAGAAGCCTCCGTCGCACCAGCAGGCTCCGGAGCACTCTCCGTAGTCTTAAGCCGCGTGGCACTCGTGCCCGGCGCGGCAACAGTAAACCCAAACGCGCCCGTCGTATCCGGGGGCAAAGTCGCGATATCCGGCGCCGGCAGCGTGATCTGCGTGGTCCCGACGCCCACCGTGTACGCCCAGAAACAAGTCGGCTGCTCGGTGGGGATGTAATCGCCCGTCGTGCCCTGGCCGAAACTAGCGCTCGTGTACGTGACGCGGAACGCCGCCGCGTTGTCCGTGTTGGTGCCCGCGATGCTGGCCAGCGGCGTCGGCGCGCCCGCCGCGCACTCCGTGTGCGCGGTCGGCAGCGGCTGCAGGCCGCCCTGCTGGGCGCCGCCTAGCCCGCAGCAGATCATGTCGGCCATGTCGATCGAGTTGTTCTTGCCGCGCCCGATGTCGCGCCAGATGTCCTTGGCCGTGTTGAGGATGTCGCCGTTGCAGCAGAAGGTCTGGAAGTTGGACGCTTTCCACCCGGGCTCGTCGGCCGCGCATTCGTACCGCGAGCCGTCGAAGTGCTGCGCGACGCTTAGACACCACTCGGTGATTAGGCCCGTAGGGATCGCGGTGGTGATCGACGACATGGCTGCGTTGTGTTGCGTTGCGTTGCGCGTCTGCTCTGCTTTGGGAGGGGGGAGGGGAAAGAGGGGGGGGGGGGGTTGTCTATTTCCGTGGAGGACTTGGTGCCTAATGGCTATGTGATGATAGGACGCGCAAAACGCGGCTGTAGGAGCGTGATGGATAGGCGAAGAGGGGAATACTTAGAGCAAGAGAAAAGGTCAGAGACAGGTACCTAGGCATCATCGTCGAAATCCACCGCGGTCTTTAGCTCCTGCAATCTCGGTTTTGCCACCCGAATCCGAGCCTCAAAACCCGAGAATCCGTAGTAAATCACCAGCACAATCGGCCTACGACCCGGGATAATATGCAGTTATCCCGATGGCATCTATTCCGTGTACGTGAGGTGCATAATAGCTTTTTTACTTCGCGGGATCATGCGCATTAGACTGCAACAAATCCTAACCGTGGCGAGAGAGGCAGATTTGATCAAGGAGGCAAGGCAAGGCAAGGATCGCCCTCTGTTCTAGATCATCGATCCCTGCAGCACGGCGCGTCAATCTGGGGTAAGTATGTACATAGTAGGACCTGCATAAGCGAAGATGAGCTTGCGATGACTTCCAATCATTCCCCTTGCTGTCGCTGCTTATGCTTATGCTTATATATATAACGATTCCCTTATTTTGTCAAGATCCGCGAGTCATGCATCGACTTGAAGGCCTAACCTAATGGTTTTATCAAGTCCCTCGTGAAGTGAAATAAGAGTCATTTTTCTAGAGCGAAAAGGACTAACCTGCCTACATATCTATGTAGTATTGGGCCGACTGACATGGCCTTGGTCCTCGTATGATTATTAGCTACGGCTCGCTGGGCAGCAATCCTTCTAACGGGCATGCCGGTTGGGAACTACTTTCCTTACTGGATCCGTTGGGGGGCACGATGAAGAAAAAAAAAAGAAAAAAAAAGCTTCAACTTATATTAGGATAGCTAACAGGTATACATACATTCCTCTACTATGAATTGCAATAGTACGAATTAGAGACTATAAGCCCACCCTAAGTGTATTTTTATCAAGAGGTAAGAATTTTAAGTTGGAAGATATCTTCTGGAAAATACGGTCTTGAGAGTTGTTTATATACGAAGTTGTCGTATTGTATTGATCGGGGGTGCCTTTGCTCTCTTCGCTACCTTATGTACGCAACTTATATAAAGGTGCGTGGGGTTGAGGACTTCCAAGTTCCTTGTTGCTCTATGCCTTACGAGAGTACATAGGTAAGTTAGTTAGTAGTAAAGCGAGTATATGTTGCACCTAACATATGTAGTATACCTAATCTTCTGGCTAACACGATTGATGTCATAAGAGACCCTTATGTTGGTTTGCCGTTATTCTATAAATAGTAACGTCAAAAGTAAAAATATATTAGCGATATTATATTTTATTCCGCTTCATATCCGTGTGCAGTAACAGTCGAAATACGATATAGTAACCCCTATTATCACAAGTTTTAATGGTTGGCTGACACCCCGCGGTGGCTAGACAAGTAAACTAATCCGTGACCCTGTCGTCATCGCTGATAACGGCAAGTTTCTCAATGGATATCCGCGATGCCATATAAATGAACAACTACCCAAAAGGTGCCTGAGCACTACGCGGACGTACAAGTGATGCGTTAGTGAAAGTAATATTACCGTATAGGTAAAATGAAGCCATCCACCTTGAAGTATGTGGTTGCAAGGATGCAGTCAAGGTAGGACAAGATCTAGGATGTGGAAGACCAGAAGGTGACAGTAGTAATTGGACACGGCTCTTGATTTGCGCTCGTGTATCTGGAATGCTCTGAAGCACGTCAAGATTAACTATTGGACTCTTGTGCAAGTTACTTGTATCCAAGTACAAGTTCTATTCTACTTCAAGCCCACATGTATAGGGCACATGTATAGGACACATGTATAGGACACATGTATAGGGGTGACATTACCATTTTCGAAACTTGTATAACCATGAGCTTCACGAGCGAACTCACCTGTCATTTGTGGCACAACAACCTTAGAACACGAGAACTGAATAGTGATGAACTTTGATACCGCCATGATATTGGTGAGCACCTTTGTGATATGTAATTTCAGCTGACGTGCTGACATCGAGATAGTGTGATACGCAGAGCGACACGCAGGGCGATACTTGCGGCAGTTCAAAGTAAGCAGGCAGACTATTGAGATTAGGATGGATTACGGAATTATGACTCTCTATGAGCAAATCGTGTTAAAACAGAAATTCAGTGCCACCCTGTGTTATTCGTATTCCATTAACGCCATGGCCATGCAACCTCACCAGCTTTCGCGGAGGCCTCTCCACTTGTGATTAACGGTTGCGCTGAAGTACTGTAGCAACCCAACAGCGCGTTCTATCCAGCCCAACTATCCAATAAAGTCCGAGAGGCATCTAACATTAGATTTAGAATGGTAGAATTTGTGTGAATTATTGTCGTCCTCTTTCGTTTATTTTGGTAATGAAACCTTTTTTTGTGACGCGGGAACAGGGGATGCTAGAATAGGTGATACGCGGATTCTATTCCTCTTCATCGTGTTCGACGAGAGTGATCATGGGCTTGTCACCCAATAGCGCTTTGCCCTTGAGATTCGTAATTTCAATCATGAAGAGGTAACCCATGACTTTAGCACCCGAGAGCTCCACGAGTTGGCCTGCAGCAGCAGCAGTTCCTCCTGAGTTACCCAGTCAGTTGAGAGGACAGGCCGAAACGGCGGGAGGAAACAAGAAAGTCACGCTAGAGCGCAAAACTGGGTGATGCTTCTTTGTCGTTGAAATGGCAGGGTTCTCCCTGGCCAGTGCTTTTATACCACCTAGTGGAGATACTTTATTACCGGTATAATTGGAGCCGACTTCTAGCCTCATGTCTGACATCTGCCTTTGTCATGGCTAGTTATGAGCAAAACTTCGGGCATAGCAGTACTGTCGATCGCCGCCATCTATTTCCCAAGCTTGTACTCATACTAGACATTAAGTGATGCAGCAGACGACTGAGAGGAACTCCAAAATTGTCCGTGTGCCCATTGATAGATGATAGGTAGAAGAGCGGGAGTATATTTGAAACAGGGACGGATAGGTTAGGGTAGACGAAATCAAGGCTAGTGAGGGCCAACTTATAATATGACATTGGGAGGCCCAAGCAACCTAGCAGAAAGCACGAGTGACAGGTAGACGCAAAGCACTCAACTTACCAGTAGCAATGATATCGTCCACGATCAAGCAGTTTTGTCCGGGCTTGATAGCATCGATTTGCACCTGAAATTCGTCTGATCCATATTCTTTTTTGTACTCAACTGTTCTGCATGCGCCTGGCATCTTGCCCTTCTTCCGGACTGGGACGAATGGGCGGCTGAGCCTCAATGCAAGTGAAGGCCCAAAGAGGAAACCGCGTGCTTCTAGACCCACTATGACATCTGGTATCTGGTCGCCGTATCGTTCTCGTATTAAGAGGGCAAGTACTTCGAGGAGAGACTCAAATGCCACAGGGTTCTGGAATATCGGGAGGATATCGATGAAGTTTATACCGGGGATGGGGAAGTCAGGTACGAATCTCAGGGCGTCGATCACCAATTTCTTAGCAGTCTCCAGCTTCTCCTGCTCGTGCGCGAGCAGGACGTTTACCGATTTACCGGCGAGTTCGGTGGTACCGGCGGCGGAGGAGGCGGGCTCTCGTCGCGAGGCATCGGGTGCAGCAGTTGGAGTGATGCTTGGCTGATCTGGGTTGGCTGCCACGGGATCAACGGGGATGTTGGAAGTGGCTAGACCGCTCATGCTGAGGAGGAGGAAAGAAAGAGAAGAAGAGAAGACGGCGAGGAGTGAAGGGCAAGGTAGGCGATATGTGTACCTTTGGGGGGAGAGAAGATAATGCGTGAAAAATTTTTGGGGGTGTGGCACAGTGGAAGGGACTGGAGGGGAGTCGAAAGACGAATGGGATAGGCAGACAAGGCAAAGCCAAGTCAGACAAACAGGCAAAGGACAAGGCCGCCTCAGAAGTGGCCGCGGAGGATGCGCAGGGGGCGGGATGGGGATGGAAATAGAGGTGTAAGGTAGCCTGCTTCCCGCAATCCGGGTGGTAGATAATAATAATAATAACAACAATAATAATAACTTCTGTCCTTGGTTAGAAGGTCTGTGAGTTTGTGAGTTTGTGAGATGTACAATGTGTGTGTGCAAGTACAGGGGTGGACGAGTAAGAATAAGGAGAAGAAAAGGGTAACCAAAGACGTGCGACTGTCGTTGGACGGAAACCTAAGACAATGAGTTTCTAAGAGGAAGTGGAAGTGGAGTGGTTGACGAGTGGGATGAAGCTGAGGTGAATCATATTTTTTTTTTTTCCCTCTTCGAAACATTTTTTCTTTGGAGGGGTAAAAACCTTCTAGTTGCGGTGCTTAGGTCTTCGTATCAGAGTACCAGGTTATACTTACATCTGATAGGGATAGCGTTACTTTCCTCGGTACCTAAGTGAGTACAGAAACATGCAGGACCCCACCGACAACCTAGCTGGACCCTAAGGCAGGTTTAAAGTACTTAACAAGGTAGCTTAAAGTATAACCCACTTACCAAAATGGGTAAGCTATAGCTAGAAGGGCAGGATAAAGGCAGGATACATGCAGCTAGTTCCAAGTTGCCATCTACATACAATACATGAACCAGATATCGGTGAAGTGAAAAAAAAAAAAAAAAAAAAAAAAAAAGAAAAAAACCAAATAGTCTAGGTTAGGTACTCTAGTTAGGCAGATTCAATTCAACCCATTACAAATGATCAGGTACATACCTACATACTGTACTTCAGGTACATAATATCCAGGACGAATGATGAACCTCTCTGCCCCTCTCGTGGGTGTAGCAGGTGGGCGGTGCAGGGGTTTTCTATAGTTTTTCTCGGTGCTCACCATTCAAAACCCCACTGCCTCCTAATGCTACCGTAACGACCGTAACGGAGGACTAGGAGAACTAGAACGTATGCAGACTTGGATGCGTTATCAGGGATTACCTCTTTGCTGATGGCTTGTTCCGGCCAATGCCGTACTTTATTAGCACCAGCGTTTACATAATCTTTGACCATAGAGCCATAGAACCATAGAGCCATAGGGACATAGAAATGGAAGTGCCAGCTGTCGGAGAGCTGGTAAGGGCTTGATATTATTAGGTATGTAAGCCGTGCATGCTATATACATGGCTATATACATGAAGCTCCTAGATATGTCCGCAGAGGCGTGAGCAGCTATGCATGTATATGCGGTGTAAGGCAACGTAATGTAATGTCTCTGGTAGGAAATCAAGGAATCCGCAGCAGGACGAATACACTGGCAGACTGGATATTTTTCTGCTGCGTACATAAGAGGTAGTTTACCTGCACAACTGCCTACTTAAGGTACGTAGTAGCTATGGGAGATGGGCATCGAAAAGGGAAGATTCCTTCTAGAAGCATTGTCACCCTACAAATTCATCCGAAGGAATAGGATGATCAGGGGAAAGTGTTACGGGATACTGGTTGGGAGACCTCAATTATCGGTCGAGCGGTATATATAAAAAATTTGCCACCTTCCTAAACTATTCCTTCGGTCTTTGAATAGGCTTACCGCAGGGGGATATTCGACAATGGCACAGTCTCTTGCCCGAGAGCTTGAAGAAGAGGCTATGTTAGGGGTAGATATTATATGTCAAAAAAGAGGGGGAAATATATACGTGATAGAAAAGCTCTTTATGAGTAATAATAATTAATTACACGTAGATTACTTGCTCGCACTCATATATCTTGCAAGTCGCAAGTCGCATGTCGTAAGTTATAAGTCGCAAAGTCAACCTGGCGATATCACATCTATTAATTCTCATTTCTCATCTCTCACTAGATAATAATACGGACCTCATAATGTAGATATGTATGCGCATGTATGCAACCTAGGTAGGTAGCATTGTACAGGTACGGCATGTATATCGTCCCTATATTCATGTAGTATATTTGTAGTATATTCGTGTGTCGGGCGTAGGTAGTATTATATTATTCAACATGGAAGAAATAAGATCAGGGATTAAAAAGAGTTAAGCAATTGCTGTGCCCCGCCTCGATTAGGTACTCATTAAGAACCTAGAAGCTTTGGGAAATCGCGATTTGTCGTTTTTGTCCGACCCCACACTTTATTTTCTTAAAAGACTTTCTACATAGGTACCTACCTACCTACCTACCTATTTCACCTTTTCCCCCTTCTCTTCTATCAGCGAGCCTCCCGGAATCCCTGACTCATCTTTTGCTTCCCCCGTAGGTATGTATACCCGACATTTTCCATAACCTATCCCTTAGATCCTCTGGTTACCGACTTACATCCGCTCCTAAGCTATACATAGTAGCTCGCACAATCCTGGCCCGGTCCCGTTTCGATTACGGTCTTGGGTTCTTGGCTACCTGCTCGGGACATCAATCTAAAAGAAGAACCATCACATTAAAAAAACCCCTAATCGCCACCTCCCGCTGCGTTGTGTGGAGCATTGATGAGGTGATCGAGGTGATCATTGACTAACAAGGTGCTATTGACGCTGTCGGAAATCGTCTCGTCAACTGCATCCACATACTATGTATATCACATCCCTACAATCATACATTCCACCTAGGTACCATACATACGCACAGCGGCCCGGGATCCAGTTAGATTCTGTCTCGGTATCCCATCATTTTCTTTGAGTATCATTAGAACTAATTACATACACCAATACCATACGAGGTATGTACACTTCCACATCAACCAACAAGACTCGTATCCTGCTCATGGATGGAAACATGGGGCTCAAAGGCCGCGTTGCGCCTCAATTGCCCTCCATCCTCTTTTAGTCGAATTGGACTGACTCCTGGTCTCCTTCGATCGAGGTGTTACAACGACTCCGGCTCCTGCAACCACATCTCTTGCATTAGGTACTCAGCAACCGAGACAGGGGACCCAGATGCTGTGACCAACAGGTATTTAATGTTGTAATCACATCACGGTTCACTCACATGTTTAAACTCGAGCTACAAATGTACACTTAGATGCCTACGACCGTCCTATTAACTCTCTAGCGATCAATCTAGTCCCATGGCCGGGAAGGATATCCGGATGATTGGACGCCCAGCAAGTGGGCGTTATGTCTCCTGGCTGGGCCCTACCTATTCTTAAATCGCATGAGGATTTGGGTCGATACAGCCTCGCACATATTAACCCGCAGGTTTCGCCGAATCAACGTTGAAGTTCCTACTTCGACACCTACACTAAATTGAGTTGCTAGGTTTATCTCGACGCTTTTGCGTAAGCCGGCCATACTCACTCCTGGATTAGGCCGCCATCTAGTTTAAGGACTAATAAGCACCGGCTCGTGTTCCTGAGAGGGTATTCTGATAAGGGAGGTAAATCCCTTGATTTTGTCAGCTACCACACACTGGGTTGTCTTTGTTTTCAATCTGACTGTCCTACCCATGCTGAGGAAAGCCGGTAAGCCGTATCTCCTTGATTGTTTACAAAGCTTCTTAAGCCGCAAAACGACCTAATTCAGCTCATTTATAACTGGAGCGTTTGCTTTTGACTCATCTCGATAGCATAGTCTTAACCCCTTGAGGAAACCCGGCATATTGAAAACAACACGGCCGGTGTACGAAGTACCGTTCTGTGATACCATAGGTAGCCCACCCTCCGAGGTTCTAGTTGGACCTTCAGTATCTGCGTGGGGTTTATTTAACCCTTGTATTAGGTACTAATTAATATGCGAGGGCATGGGACTTGCATTGGTTTCACTTCAACGCCCTCTGCATAGTATGCATGGAATTCTCTATCTTCCTAGCGTTTCAGCACATGCCCAGTCCCCCCCGCATGTTGAGTTATCTTGACCGCGATTTTCTGGTTCTATTCGTATATGTGCTATATGCCGGGGAGCTGAACCGCGATGTTAATGGCTGCATGTCCTCACCGCCAATCTCCCGGGTAGGTAGAAGTGCCTACTACAGTAGTAGATCCGCAAGCCGACCTTGGCTGAATCAGAAACTGGGGAATAGAAAAGAGCTTCGAACATCTCGAAACTACCAGGGCTACCAGTATATGTAAGTTGAGAACTGGATGTTGATGACTACAGCCTCGTCGAATGACGACGTCGCTCTTGGTGGATCTGCAAATCTGTCGATCACCTCAAACGACATATACGACATATCACGTCCACTCATCAGCCCTGGGGTGTTCTAGGCTTTTGCACAAGCATAGAATCAAGATGAATGCACCCTCTCGGTACACAAGTAGCTTTATGCTCTGCTTGACCTGCAGCGGTCGCATTCTCCCGTCCCGGAAAATCGATCTTGCTGCTGGCAGGTCTTGATAATTGACAAACGTCACCCCGCTATATCGGATGGGGCGTACGACATTATGCAATCGGCCGATTCAGACTTACGTTAGTTAATATGGTCTCATTTCCACCTGCTGGCCTGCTGGAGCCGTGCGTACAATGGCCGACCCGACATTGGGGCAGAAAATCGGATAGGTTTAGGCGACCGGAAGCTTTTTCGGATGTGGCCATGAAGCAGATATCACACACACCTACACACCTCTTCGTATTTGCCGACTTCTCCAATATACTAGAGTATATGGTACTATGTAGCTGTAGCTAAAACGTCGCCAAACATCTCCGCGCTCATCCGACTGCGTACTACTCCGCAATGTCTCGCGATGTTTTCGGCGTCTTCAGAACTGACACACCGGGTATGCAGTATTTCGTGCATTATATACCTCTCCACCAATCAGTGACTCCACCCGGATGCAGAGATAAAAGTCTCTGCAAATGGATACTAGGCGTGGACAAACCTTTAGCAAGCTATTCTTCCTGTCTTGCGGATGTGCGCATCTCGCCCCTATCTCGTTCATCGACA